GATAACTCATTGATTCCATCATCAGTGTGTGTGTGTAGAGATTGAAAAGGCTGAAAGATTCTGGGACTTGTGGTCAAAAAGGTAACCTTTTCAAACTTTTGTATATTGATACCAACATTTTCACATAACAAGGTGCAACTCTGTGGCTACTTTTCTATTTTGACTTCCATCTCCCATCCACCCTTGATAGCATAAACTAGTGATGAGGGATTACGGACATTGAAATCCAAAAGCATCTCGTGACCTACAGTTGGCCACCCCATTGTAACCAAAAACTTTGAAATGAAACCACGTTAAATTTATTACCAAGAAATGCACATATCCTTATAGGTTTCTTTAAGAAGAGAAGCCACATCTGTTTCAGTATGCAAATGTCTCTACAACTTTATTTTCTAAACATGGAAGAAAAACAGTAATTATAGGAAGGAACAAAGAGCTTCACATTTTGCTTTTCTCTTCATTCACTTCACAGCTTCTAGGGCACCTTATTCTTCACTTACGACAACCTTCTTATGCACTTCTCGGGTCTTCACCCTGAGTTTGTTAACCTGAGATTCAGCAATGTCAGCCCGCTCTTCAGCCTCTTCCAGCTCATGCTGAATCTTACGGAACTTGGAAAGGTTCACATTGGATTGTTCCTCCTGGTAAAAGAGAGAGATGAAATCATCATAATCACCATCATCCAGCCTTCCCCAATTCAGGACTTAAAGCAACTTAGAACAGATTTTTTAAAAAACATAGGTAAAAATTCACAATACAAAAGTTAAAAGTGATTACGCTATAAAAAATTAGAACCAGTTAAAACATGAAACGTTAAAAACAACAGCATAACAAAAATAGATAGAAAATCCAGCACATTATACAAGCCTCATCCTGCCTAAACAATCAATCCTCAAAGGCCTATTGAAGCAGAAAAAGTTTTGGCCTCCTTATAGAAAGAGAGTAGGATGCTAATCTAACCCCTTTGAGAAAGTAATTGCGAAGCCTGGAGGCAGCCACTGAGAAGGCCCTCTCCCATGTTCCCACTAGATGTACCAGTGAGTGAGGTGGGACAGAGAGAAGAACCTCTCCAGAAGATCTTGAAATACGGGCAGGTTCTTAAGAGAGAACGTGGTCCTCCAAACAACCTGGACCTGAGCTATATAAGGCTTTACAGGTCAAAACCATCAGTTTGAGTTGTGCCTGGAGACAGATCGGCAGTCAGTGGAGATGTTGCAACAAGGGAATTGTGTGCCTCCTCTAGCCAGCCCCAGTTAGCAATCTGATTGCAGCTATTTGGACCAGTTGAAGTTTCTGAGCACTGAGCAACCCCATGTAGAGCATTTTGCAGTCATCCAGTGAGGATTACTAAGGCGTGTGTCACCATGGCCAGATCTGACATCTCAAGAAACAGAAGCAGTTGATGCTTGAGCCTTAACTATGGAAGCACAGAAACCATAGATGGCTAAAGTCGTTTCTAGTTTCTAGTTTTTTAGCCAGCATCAACTTTAATTTTCAACCATCTGGACACACGTACATAGTAATTCTTTTGAAGCACACAAAATTTATCACAAAGCTCAAACTACAAGCAGTAAAGAATCCCATAACAGGAAAGAGAAGCAGGAACCTCTGTGGGATTTTCACCTCCCAGCTGTGCACAGGAGAATACTGGCAGTGAATACTTCATTTCAAGACTATCAAAATTCAAAATTCCTATGTAAATTACAAAATTCCTATGTACAAAATTCCTATGTAATAAAAACATAATCTATGTTTTGCATAACATTCTACTTTGGCTGCTTCTAAAAGGTGTGTATGTTGTGGAATCACCCAGCCTCATTCCTGGAAATTTATGAGAGCTCCAGACATTGCTGCCTTCTATTTATAACCTGCTTATGTTGCCCCACTGCTACTTCTATTTTTTTTAATTCTTACAATAAAATCTGATAAGAAGGAAAAATCAGAATGATTTCACAATTTTTTAAAAATGGTAGTGCTAGGAGCCATTTGTCTTAAAGATCCTCTATTATTCAAGAAGTTTGTGTAGCTGAAGCATAACATTCTAACTGTGCCAGCAAACATTTGTCATTATCTTTTACACAAGCCCAATTTTCTCGCTAGGCATGCCATTGGCGGCATACACTCCCAGCAAGCCCCATTACTTCTGTTTTACTTCACAGACTTTCTCAAAATGGCAACAGGAAGTGATACCAAACCACTTCCAGTCACCATTTTGAGAGGGATAAGAGAGGAAAACAGAGGCCATGGGTGAGTTCTTGGGAATTTTGTGTTTTCACATGTCTTCATGCATTGTGAGAATTTTCTGCTTGATTAACTGGCAAAAATTGCTTGAAAATCATGTGGGAGGTTGGAGGGGTTAGGGGCTTCAAGGGCCTCATGTCGCCACATGATACTTACAGCTTCCTCAGCTTGTCGCTTGTATGCTTTCACTTTAAGTTGTAGTTTATCCACCAGATCCTGAAGTCTCAGAATATTCTTCCGATCTTCCTCAGCCTACAAAAGCATATGTAAAGAAGGGAGAGAGTTGATTTCACATATATGATACTACATGATTTCCTAAAGCATTTTGAAAATGTTAAAAGCCCCCATTCTCACCTGATAAGTCATTTCCTTTACTCTTCTCTCAAACTTCCGGACACCTTTGATGGCCTCAGCACTGCGCTTCTGTTCATTCTCACATTCCCCTTCCAACTCACGAACCTGATATAAAATAATGAATTGTGTGCATTTTATCTAATATTTTGCCAATAATGAGAATGTGCATTTATGCAGCCACAAAGCTTAGCTGGAACTGTCTGATAGCTTGGGGTGGGAGCATGCACAACTTCCATCTTTGACAATGCTTTCTTGTCTGACTCTTTTATTCCACCCTTGACCACTTGTAGCCTTTCCGCATTCCCACCTTTCCTTCATTCCTATTCATCTATAGTCTGTTTCTATGGCCAACTTTGAAGAAAAGTATTCCTACTTCTTCAAGTACTTAACTGTCAATCTTTGTGCTTGTTAGTTTTTGTTTGCCAACATTTATTCTTTTTTTCCCCCTAATATCTTCAGCCCAACAGTCTTTGATCATTTCTTTAATGCAAAATCTGCTGTTGCTAAGCATGGTAGGTTCAAGATGAGTTTTGGAGTGATTACTGTTAACATCACAAACATCACTGAAACAGGAGGAAGCTTTCCCTATGCAATTTGAAAGAAAAATGAATGGAAACGTCAGGCCTATACAAACCAATCTATTATCATCAATCCCCCTCAACCTCCAAATATTATTTTTCCTAAAATAGCAGCTCTCCTTCCCATGTGTGCAAAGTGGTTCAAGTGGAGAAGCAGACAAAGCAAAGAGGGTCATAAATACATGGGAAATTATTATACAAGATTCAATTATATGAGGTACTACTACATACTCTGGCCTCCAGTTTCTGGATCTGCTTCTTCCCTCCTTTCAGTGCCAACTGTTCTGCTTCATCAAGACGATGCTGCAGGTCCTTCACAGTCTGGTCCAGGTTCTTCTTCATCCTCTCCAGATGTGCACTGGTGTCTTGCTCCTTCTTGAGTTCCTCAGCCATCATGGCTGCCTATTTATAGAATAAAACATCCCAATTCAAGAAGCCATACATGCCAGCTGCAAACAGGATTACAATTTCAAAGGAAATTTTGCCTAGCTCACATCAGTGATGGCTTTCTTGGCTTTCTCTTCTGCATTGCGTGCTTCCTGAATAGTCTCTTCCACTTCACTCTGGATTTGGGCAATATCTGTTTCCAGCTTCTTCTTGGTGTTGATTAAGCTAGTATTCTGTTGAAATAACAATAGAGCAAATTTTGATATAGGCTTGAAAGTGCCACATCTTGGGCATACTTCCTGGTAGGAGAGAGAATGGAGCAGAGCTATTCCTGGTTAACAGACAGACAATAAGGTTTTGAGTATGATAATTTCGTTACTCTCCTGCTGAGGTCTTCATAATCCCTAACGAAACCTATCATACTGTGGCATCTAACACTGACATCACCATCCTCAGAGCTATTTGCTGATGAAGCCATCTGGAGAGCCTTTAGTCTATCATGAACTTTAGGATTATGTGAGTGTTGTTTGCTTTTATTTGGAAATGTCCTACATTTTTTGCTGGATTGCCTTACATTTGAATGCACTGATATGTTGGGTAAAACTTACAATCACTACCCCAGGAGCTTATTCAGCTGCAGTGCAAACTAGGAATGACAATTGTCTCACAGGAAGTAATTTTGCCACAGAACAAGCTGGGAATGAAAGTGGACCTTCTTAAAAGCACAATTGAAGAGTTATTACATTTAACACTTGTGTCTGTAATGCTTCAGTTGCACTTTTCCAGTTTTAATAATGGAATAAAGCATTATTAATAAAATATGAGAACAGAACACTTTACTAATGAGAATACAACGTGATCTGCATGACGTCATGTGATAATCCTTTCTCAATTGTGCAATTGTGATGGGAGAATAATGGGAAGAGGATGCTTCCCCCCCCCCCGGTGATATTCCCCATGGAGAATAGAAACTTTTTTTAAAAGAATTAGAGCTATGTTTTCAATAGTTGTTATACAGGAGAGATAATAAGCAATGGCCATTTCAAGAACACACAGATCAGGGTCCTATTGGGACATTATGCACATGTAATCCACTTTCTGCTAGTGACTGCAGGTTTTGAAATGTAAGGATGATTGCTGTCTGGAATCTCAAGCTGGTAGATACAATCTACAGGCAAGAAATATGCAAGTGTGATATGACTGCACCTGCATGCACACACATGCTTCCCAAGGTATTAGTGATCACCCTACCATTGTGCTCTTCATTATGCACAGAAGAAGGCTAACTGGGCAGTGCTGTTTGTGCCCATCATTTTGGTTTTTGATGACCATTTCATTCATTGTCTAGGACTGGAGAGTGGCATGAGTGGGAAGAGGCTGTACTCATACCAACATAGTTCTTTTGATCATCAGGACTTCATGTTTCAATATAGGCTTTCCACCAGTGTGGCACAGTGGTTTGAGTGTTGGACTATGACTCTAGAGACCAGGGTTCGATTCCCACTTGGCCATGAAACCCACTGGTGACCTTGGGCAAGTCACATGCTCTCAGCCTCTTCAGGGGAAGGCAATGGAAAACCTTCTCTGAACAAATTTTGCCAAGAAAACACAGAGATAGGTTTGCCTTAGGGTGGCCATTAAGTCAGAAATGACTTGAGGGCACACAACAACAACAAACAACAAGGCTATAGGACCAAATAGGACTTTTTGGCTTTCCTCATTTTACTTGTGGAAGTGTTTTTGATTATTCAATACAGAATATGAGAGGTCTGGTTCTCTCTGAGATTTATCAGGTTTCATTTGATTTGTTCTGTGTTTAAATATCAATATTGACAAAGTCAATTCATAATGCATGGCTTAATTTGCTGTTAAATATAGATACTGGTTAGGTTGATTCAGTCACATTTATTTGGCACAGGTGTGCAGGAATGTTACTGGTTTCATGGTTATTGAGCATCCCACAGGCACCTTCAGCCATTCTGGCTCCTCTGTTCTCAAGTCCATCTCACCATGACTGTGAGTGAATCAGCTATGGCTACCTCTTCTTCCTGCTTGGCAGCCATCATTTTGCCTGGGAAGGAGCACATGGGGGCAAGAGGGAAGGAAGGCCCCCACTGCTGTTATTGTTCCTGCTCTTGAAACAACTGACCTCCCATCCTCTCAGGATCCCATAGTTCTATGCTCTGTCAATGTTCTATAGGATTGTGGCCCATAATGGCTACTTTCCATTTACTTATTACTACTTTGGGGATTTCCTAAACACATTTAAAAAATATAAGCTTACCTGTGAGTGGAGGAGTTGCACACGCTCACTGGCATCCAGAAGCTCCTGTTCAGCCACTTTCCTGCCCCTCTCTGTCTGTTCCAGAGCAGCCCGGAGCTCCTCAATCTCAGCCTGCATCAGGTTAGCTCTGCGCTCAACCATGGCCACCTGCTCCTTCAGGTCTTCCTGGCTCCTCAGAGCATCATCCAAATGCAACTGTGTATCCTAAAAAGGATATTGAGATATTATTATGAGGGATTCTTTGAACGACCAGAGTCGCAATTATATGCATCTGAGGAAGTAGACTGAAGTCCATGAAAGCTCATGCTGCCAACTTCTTTATTTCAGTTAGTCTCAATGGTGCTACAAGATCTCTCTACAACTGTTTTCTTTAGAGAAGTGCCCATGTACCTTGAGAATCCCTTGTGTGTTCCTGAGATTCTTCATTGCCTCAGCAGCTTGACGGTTGGCATGGCTCAACTGGATTTCCATTTCATTCAGATCTCCCTCCATTTTCTTCTTGAGCCGCAGAGCATCATTTCTGCTTCTAATCTCAGCATCCAGTGTGCTCTGCATGGACTCCACCACCCTAAGGTGATTTCTCTTCAGCTGATCAATTTCTTCATCCTTCTCTGCAATTCTTCGGTCGATATCTGCCTTCACTTGATTGAGCTCCAATTGGATGCGGAGGATTTTCCCTTCTTCATGTTCCAGTGAGGCCTTAAAATCAGAGTTTTAAAAAATGAGTACAGTGTAGAATCACTATCTAAAAGTTTATTCAGCAGCAACAAAAATTAATAGTTTGTGTCTACCAAGACAGGATATTAAGAGAACAGTGCTTTGAGTTGGAAGATGATTTTGTTTTTTGTTTCATAATTCAAATGGCATATTCACCTCAGCTTCCTCTAGAGCAGTCTGGAGATCAACTTTCTCTTGTTCAATCTGCTTCTTCACTTTCTCCAGTTCATGGATAGCTTTTCCACCTTCTGCAACCTGCTCCGTAAGGTCAGAAATCTCCTCTGTTAAAAATATCAACAGGTGAAAAACAGATTAGTAAGTTGCTCTGTTACCTACAGAGTACAAAATGTTCAATCTATCAATTGTTAATGCAAATTAATTTTTGTCAGTGCTGAATTAAGCCTTATTAATTGTCTAGTATACAAATAAACAGCACATAAAGCAACTGGAGGAGTAGTCCTATAAACATGGGCACACTTAACTGAATGTCTATGTAAATACTATGGCCTTACGTTGCAAGTTTTTGTTCTCGCGTTTCAGAGTTTCCAGGTGATCCAAGGTTTCCTCATAAGCATTCTTCATCTTAAAGAGCTCTGTGCTGAGAGAGCGAGACTCCTTCTGTGAAGCTTCCAGTTCAGACTGTGTTTCCTCATATTTCTGTTTCCAGTCTGCCAGAATCTGCAACATGCCACCAAGAAATGAGTTAATTTGATCTGAGGTCTTTATCAATATGCTCATTTTTTAAGATGTCTTATGAAAATCAAAATTAATCAAAATTAATTATCAAACCTTATCAAAGTTCTTCTGCTTCTTATCTAGAGCTGCACAGGCTGCATTGGACCTCTCTACATCAATCATCAGGTCCTCTACTTCATTCTGCAACCTCTGTTTTGTCTTCTCAAGGGAAGCACATTTGGAATTGACAGCTTCTACATGTTCCTCAGCCTCCTGCAGACGCTGGGCAAGCTTTTTCCTAGTGGAAATGTAATCACAACACTCAATGGAGGATAATATTAGATTTGGTTGTGTGTAGCTGTCAGCTATTACACTGCAATAATTTATTGAATTTCGGAACATTTCTATACCACTTTTATTTATTTTTTTAAAAAAATCCAAAGCAGTTCTTTATAAAAAGAAAACAAATATAATGAAATCTGTATCTGAGTAATAAAATTAACATCATCATTATCATCATTCAAAAAAAAAATTATTAAAAGCCAGGAATGTCTGATAGAATTAACCATTAGGAAAACATTCAGGAAAACTGGATAAACAGATGGTTCCCCAATAGATAGTGGAAACATCCATCATTGGGAGCCTTTTTGAGACCATTCCACATGTTGGTAACCACAACTAAGAAAACCCTCCTCTGTACCACAGTCAAACAGGCCTCAGGAAGCAGCAATACATAAGCAGAGCCCAAGAATCCCTGCAGACTGTAGAGATTGCAAGACTCTCAGAATGTAAAGGGCCTAGAGTAGAAATTCTCTACAGGAAGATTTAGGATAAATCTGCCATTGGTCAGAGTATAATAGAAGCTTAAGATGATCATTTTCAAATGAAAGGTCAGCAAACTATAACTTATTTCTTTTATTGTATTTTTACTGCCAGGAATGGGCTGCTTCTGAGACCTTTTGCTTCATATACCACAATGTGTATGAAACAGTATTTGTCTGGCTTTAAGCACAGTGCACCTTGTTTGGGTTAGCTGTGTGGGAAGCACCATTTGTTGCTAGATCACAGACAGCAAAATGTCTTGGACTGACAGTAAGAAATGGCACTGCCAATACCCAGATGATTAATATACTCTTGCAGTCAGACTAGTTCAAATGCAACAATAACTTTTCCTAATCTTTCTAACTGTTTCACTAAAAGTTCCTGTAAATCACATGGTCGCTGGGGCCACGTGTGGCCTCTATCTATTTTATTTACTTGCCTTTGACCCACACTCATACTTACTTGGCCTCCTCAAGTTCCTCAGTGCGCTGAATGGCATCAGTCTCATATTTGGTCCTCCATTGGGCAACTTCACTGTTTGCCTTGGACATGGCACGTTGGAGTTCACTCTTGGCTTCCTGTTCCTCTTCATATTGTTCTCGAAGGAGGTCACAGTCATGCCGAGCAGATTGCAAGCCATGGGCCAGTGCATTCTTAGCCTAGACAATTAATACAGCAATATAGATGACGTAGATATTCAGAGCAGCCACAGTAGAATGGGGTGCATAAAGAATTATTAAAGTCTTAAATGTTCAAATGAGGTAGGTCTTGCATTAGTGTTTGGATGAGACAACCATGTGTCTTTAATTCACATTACTGACATTACGAAGGATAATAAAATAAACTTTTGCTTCAAAGTCCACACCTTTATCTCTTCCTCAAGCTGTCTCTTCAGTTCTTCAATTTGTTGAGTGAATGCTTGCTTTCCTCTAGATAATTGGGAGATTAAAGCATCTTTTTCATCTACTTGTCGTGAGAATTCACCTGAAGCACAGAATAAAACACAGATTTCTCTTAACACAGAGAGAAAGAAAAAAAATAAATTGGCATCTTTTTCAGAACTGCCAGTGTCCTTCTTACATGTATTCCCATCATCTCAATTGTTTTCTTAAGGGTCTTACCTGATTCTGTCTGCAGACGAGCTCTTTGAGCATTCAAGTCATTAATCGTGCGTTGCTGTTCTTCATCCTTTGTTTTAAGCTCACTGATCTGATCTTCAAGGGTGCGGCACAGCTTTTCAAGATTGCTCTAGATGTGTACAGGCAAAAGGAAAGAATTACATTACTTAACTCTGGTGTGGTTTGAATTTAGTTTCACATTTGGAATATATATGTATATATTCCTTAATACAGAGGAAAGGACGTGGAGTAGAGAGTTCTGAGTATGTAATACATTATCACACTCCAAAGTAGGTATAAAGACTTGCAAAAATGTATCTTGTAAAATTGAATTTGGACTCTCTTTATGATGTTTTTAAAAATATTTGTCTTATAAATAACTTTTAAAGTTATTTTTATTTATTTTGCACAGATGCTGGAGTATTTCAGAACCCATAACTTTTGCAATCTAGCATGAAACTACAGACGTGATTCCTAAAGTGGGTGGTATGCCCCCCCCAGGGGGTGGAAAGATCCATGGGGATGGTGAAGGAAAAGGGGGTGGCAGGGTAGGGCTTCAGTCAAAGTACTGCTGGTGTGCAACAAAGACAAAGGGAACCAGCAGACTTTAGGACCATGGTGTAGATAAGGAGTTAGACCATGTGGTGGTGGTGCTGAGGAGTTCACATTTGCACCTTGCTTAAACTTTGTGAGTTTTAGTAGGACTTGGCTGGCAGGTTGCAGTTGCACTGCTGCTCCAGCTTTCTTTTACCCAACAGGCTGAGAGAGGAATCATAGAATCATAGAGTTGGAAAACACCACAAGGGCCATCAGTCCAACCCCCTGCCATGCAGGAACTCAAAATCAAATCATCCCCAACAGATGGCCATCCAGCCTCTGTTTGAAGACCTTGAA